AGTAGCTATTCAATGTGTAAAATACAGCGGTAAATGTGAAATAGAGTAGCTATTCAATGTGTAAAATACTGCGGTAAATGTGAAATAGAGTAGCTATTCAATGTGTAAAATACTGCGGTGCTTGCATTGTGTTTTCTTAGCCATTCCAGATTACAAAAGATACTTTGTTAAGAGATTGTTAATGGAAAATAACCCGTGATTCATTAATGACAACTATATATACTTTCTGCAAAAGTGGAAATGAAAATATGGTGAAAATATGCTGTTGATGTATATTCTTACAAACTTTTCATCCAAAAGATCCAAGCTACTAAATACGTTATATTGCAAAAAAAGGAAGAAAAAATATCGGAAAGATTTTAGGTAATATTATGTAACCAATTAAAAATTAGTTATTTCTATTGTTACCCTAAGTGTACAATAACATGCAAATGATGGTTTGAGCTCGACATTCTATACGTGTTTTTGGCCCTCTATTGGACAAATAGTCACAAATTCGCTGAACGTTGCATACATGTCAACAAATATATCAAACAGTCAGCGTCAAGGGGTGATAACACTAATAGAGAAAAAGGATAAAGAGGAAAGAAAGATTGAAAATTAGCGAACAATTACACTTTTAAATACAGACTATAAAATTGCCTCAAAATGTATTTCAAAGCGAATTGAGAAACACCTAGATTCATTGGTCCACGAAACACAGACTGCCTTTATTAAAAATCGTCTAATTGGAGACGGTATTCGTCTAATTGAGAGTATAATGGATTACACGCATGAAATTAATTTACCTGGTATTTTGTTAGCTATAGATTTCCGCAAAGCATTTGGCAGCATAAAAAAAAACATATCCAACGGGTCTTTGAGGCTTACTTTTATATTTTCTGCAATAATATTATATATTTTTGGGCCATCGATGTTGCAATTTATTCGTACTTTTTATTCCAATCCAATAAGTTGTGTCATGAACGGGGGGGGGGGACATCAACAGTTTATTTTAATATTAGTAGAGGAATCAGACAGGGCGATCTCATTTCTCTGTATTTATTTATATTATCCCTTGAAATACTTCTTATTTCTATCAGGTCTAACGGCTCTATCCATGGAATCAGTATCGAAGGTTGTGAAATAAAAAAATCCGCATTCGCCGATGACGTAATTTGCTTTTATCGGATGAGTCATCTGGCCAACATCTGGCCAACATCACCAATCAGTATTATTGGTACGTTTTCCCCGTACAACAAGAATAAAGCACGTGACCTTAATCTAACAGAATTATTAAGCTCGGTCAAGTCCATACTTAAATTGGTGGTTATCTCAAGGACTCACTATAATTGGTAAAATAACAATTTACAAATCCTTAATAATTCTAAAATGTATATACATATTAAACTCTATCTATATAGAGCCATCTGATATGAAAACTATTGACAGTATAATTTATAATTTTATTTGGAAAGGACATGATAGAGTTGCTCGAAACACGATAAATGGTGATGTTGGCCAAGGTGGGTTAAATATGATTGGGATGGTCGATATGTATAAATCTCTAATGGTGAAATGAGTACAACGGTATTTAAATGACAAAATAAATCATCCATGGAAGTTATTTCTGAAACTAATCTTTAAATGTGATTATAAGGTTGATCACCCATCGATTGATATTCCAGATTTCTATATTACAATGTTAAACGTTTGGTCAGAGATAAGACCATCAAATAAACTTCATAGCTCTGAGAAAATAATCTGGCATAACTCAAATATTTTAATTAACAACAACAGTATCTTTTATTTAGAATTTTACTCGCATGGAATTATGTACATATCTGCCATTTTTAACGATGAACGATGGCTTGTTTCTATTAGGCTTTTCCCCAATTCAATTATTAAACAGTAGAGGCGTTATTTCGGCAATCCCATCTAAATGGAAGCGTGACCTTCCTAAAATCGTACGCCCCGAACCCCCAATTTCAGTTATTATCAAAGATATTGTAACTCCACTCAGCGACTACAATACGAAAACAATTCGAAAAGTTTTCTCAAATCTTAACTTTGTTCTTCTAATTAGTAAATTTCATTTTCAGCAATTATTTAAAATTTATGAATCAGAATGAACATTTTTCTTTAATCTCCTTTTGTTGCATGTTTGGGTTCCAGTGGAAACTTTCGCATAACATCATCTATACAAACTGGACATTGTATCATATGACACCACAACGAGTACAGTCCAGTAGTTGTACCTTTTGTGGAACAGCAGAGGAAACTATTTTACATATATTTGTGAATTGTTATGTTGTTAAGTCTCACTAGCGTGGTTTTCTATATAAATTTCAACATTTTATTAAATCATTTGATAATGTTAATAAAAAAATCCATATATGACAGCAAGCTTAAAGAAATATCTTCCAACGCTGAACAGCCTACAAGCCAACATGACGCATATTAAGCAGATTGAAGAATACATTGCTAAAAGAAACAACTGTATAGACAATTTCAACAAAAAATAGGGAATATTAAATATCTAATTAATTTATCTAATCACCTCATTCATCTCGTCTCTTTTTGGCCTGGTTTTGCTTTTATTGTTTTGTCTGTAATTATTTTTTGTCTGTGTTTTCTCTGTGTATTATGAATTTCTCTAGCATTGAAAAAAAAGATAAAGGAAAAAAAATGTGTACAATAAATGAAACTTTTTCTTTTTTTCAATTTGAAATGTAAATATCCTTGAATAGAACGCAAATAAAATATATTATAGTTTCAATCGAATAACTAAGTAGCAGAATTACAGTCAAAAAACGGTTCTAAGTGTGTCACAAATATTATTTATGGCAATTCACTTAATTCTGTGATTTATCACCAATGCACACTTCCCTAAGCAATCCCCTATTTTAGTGAATTTATTCATTGTATTTTTCTGTGCTTTATTTCTTGTAATTATTTAAACACTGAATACTAAAAACCCTGTGTGTTGCCGCTGCAGTATTGTCAGACAAGTGATACAGGCTACAATCAT